TGCCTTGGAAAATGGGTCACCCGGGAGTTGAAATTAAGCACTGAAGAGAGGATGGTAATTCGTTCATACCCTTATGAACAACTGCGGTGAAAGCAGCACTCAGCAGTGGAGGATAATCATTCGTGGTTTCAGACCAGACTGAAGGGCATCTATGGACTGACTAGCTCCAGCTTTAGCCATACATCTGACAAAACTACAGATGATTTCAAGTACATCAGTGGTGGATTTTAAGGTATTATGCACTCAGATTTTAATTCAGCTAACAGCTTTAAAGCATCACTATTCAGTATGAATATGTGCAAGCCACATGTGTCATTTAAAATGTTCTCATTGTTGGGGATTTCTCTGGTGGTCAGTGGTTAAGAATCTGCCTTTCAATGCAGGGGACATGGGTTCGATTACTGGTTGGGAAACTAAGATCCCACATGCATCTGGGCAACTGAGCTCAAAAGCCCAAAACTAGAGAGAAGCCTATGCACTGCAACTAAGACCCAATGCAGCCATAAATAAACAAAAAAATATATTTTAAAATGTTCTATTTGCCACAAATAAAAAGTAAGTTGTAGCAGCTAAAATTAATTTTAATATTTTATTTTACAAAGTATCCAAAATACAATTATTTCAATACCTAAAAAATATTTAAAACCTTTAATATTTTACCTTCACTTTTTTGTACTAGGTCTTCTACATCTGATGTGTTTTCACAGTCTATCTCAATTGGATGCTAAGTTTTAATCAGAAATGCTTGGTCTGAAGTAGAGTTCATAGAATTGACAGTTGAAAAAGTGGATTCATTTACAAACCTAAACTGGTCCAAGTGGATTCATTTACAAACCTAAATTGGTCCAAACCATGACTGTATTATTAGATTTTCAATTTAAATTTAGATTACATTAAAATTCAGCATATAACTATTTGGAGACTAATAATTATGATCCAGTATATGCCTAGGAGTGGTAGAAAATAAAGTTTAAAATGGTAGCTTGGGGCAGTTTACAGCTTCAAATGGCAGGCCAAAGAGTTTTTTCTAAATGGGGAAAAAGTTTCTCGTGAGGAGAGATGTAAACTGTGTTTGGGGGAAGATTCACATAGCATTGATGTGGATGGTGGATGGAAAGGGGGACAAGTTGGAGGCTAAAAGAACAATTAGTTACTGCACTAGTCCAAGCAAAATATAATGAAAAAGTGAGGAAGATGCTAGGAAAGGAAATAAAATTATAAATTTAATAAGTATATATATAAAGATATCAGGAAATGTGGGCAGGAAATCAAAGAAAAGGAGGGGTCAGAGAGTTCTATGACAACTAAAATAAAGAAGTACAGAAGAAGGGCTGGAGGGAGAAGAGTTATTTCTATTACATTTGATATAAATGTTTTAAAAAAGATTGGAATATGTACATATGTTCTGGCGGGTGGGAGGAGACCTTTGGGCAGACATGAAAAGAAATAAAAATCTATTTATAGAATTGTCAAATTAGCAGAATGGGCAACTTTCTTAGAAGTACTGTATACTATTCCAACAGTTGGGAGTGTCTGATAAATTAAATTATGGTACCACTCTTTAGAAATTTATGCAGCTGTTAAAAATTACTGCTGTTGAATTATTTCAAGGGATGTGGGAAATTGCTTAAGATGTATTTTTAAATGAAAACTTTTAAGTTTAGCTAATAAAAGTCTAATTTTTTAAGAAAGCATATGCACTTACATAACGTATAGCACAGAAAATGTATAGAAGGACACATACCAGGCATATATTATCTCTGCAGAGTAAGACTGAAAGGGGCAAGGGCTTTATGTTTTTTTACTTTGGTTTTGCTTGAACTTGCTTCAGAGAACATATTATTTTTATTTTTGAAAAGGGAGACCAGATAAATGACTAAACGGGTTTTCTGTCAAAAAATTAACTCCGGGGACTTCCCTGGTGGGCCAGTAGTTAAGATGCTACATTTCACCTGTAGGGGGTTCAGTCCCTGGTCAGGGAACTAAGATCCCACACACCACATGGTGCAATAAAAAATAATTGAAATCAATAAATGACTTACAGAATTATCTCTGGGCCATTTTAATTTTCTTATTACAAACTTTTTTATATTTCAGTATGTAATACTTTTATAATCAGAAAAATATCATAAAGGAAATAATCTGTAATATCAATGGTAAAATCAATTTTAAGTCTGTTAGCAAAGCCATAGGTTAGGGTTGGGTGTTTCTTTAAACAGATTTGTATCCAATTTCCTTTACTTTTGGGGGGCTCATGATTACTTTTATAGCTGCTGAAGCTATTTCCACACATTAAAAAAAAAATGATTTCCATTCAGTGTGGCCAAAAAGGAAAATGGAGGCCAACCCCAAGGCAAACATTCCTTAGAGAAGACAAAAAGCCTCTGTAACCTGTGGAATGAAAACTTCACCAGTAGAATGTGACTCTTTTGTCATGAATGACTTCAACTGCTGGTGGACAGAAATTTTTAATGAGAACAAAGAGCATTGGAATGATTTCAACGCTCTGGTTGTCATTCCAGGCCAAACACACCAGTAACTTTATATTATAATGATAGAGACAAAGAACAAGGTGTCCCATTCACTGTGAGGCTCCTGCAACAAGAGGGCGCAGAGTCTCTCTCACTGAAGTGGAAACGAGAGGGAACTTTCAAGGAGCGCGGAAATGGCTGTGAGCAGGTAAATCACCATTAGCCACATAAATAATGGCCGAAAATGGGTGAAGAGATGAAAAGATGCCGTCTGATCATTCACCAATGTAAAGATGTGCACTAAATCAGGGTCTTTTCTGTCTGACGCTGTTGTTTTTACTGAACAGTTAAGCACCCAAGGAAATACCAGTTTGGTCTTAAAGACAATTTATAGCCGGGTTGGCCTCATTGCACCTGGCTGTGTTTTGACAGCAGGTTTCGTCAGTTTACAGCGGAGATTCTTGTCTATGCTATAAGCTGTTACTAATGCAACTAGACCTTTGGAAAAAATGTACCACTCAAAGGCAAATCTTTCCCTGCCATGGACCCCTCCCCCTTTTAATGAAAAGCAAAAGCTGGTGGCAAAGCCTCTTCTTCTTCAAGGGAAATTACAGAACCTCCTGGGAGCGAGCAGGTCAGCCCCAGTGTGATGGCGCTAGTTGGGTGCGCCTGCTTCTGGGCACTCGATTAAGGACTCTTTCTTTTCTCTTCCCTCGGGGCTAACTGCTGAACACAGCTGCCTTGTTGTTCTGGGCCAGGAAATGCAGGATTTTGCTCTTTGAGCTCCCAACTTTTCCCAGCTTCCAGGCCCCCCTAAGAATGTCTGGGAGCCTTGCAACAGCCTGGCCTGAGAACTCCAGGCAGCAGGCTTCAGGGGATACCCACCCCTCACCCCTGAAGAAAACAACAAGAGCAGGGTGTGGCTATTTGGGATCAGGCAAACCTTAAGTTTGTTCCCCTGGATTTTTGTACTCAGCTAGTGACCTGATTTGGAAGCCGCTGTCTTAGAAATCACAGGAACTCATTACACGTAACATACACAAGTTGAAAGCACAGCCTCCCAGGACCAGGTGCTCCCGAACGACTCACTTTGTTCTGCGTGTTTAGGATACAGCATTTTATTCTTTTTTGCTCCCAGAAGGACTGGGCCAAACAAATAAGTTTTAACAGGTGACACGCATTCCTGAACCGAAGGCTGTGCGTCCTTCCTCGGGAATGAGCTCCTGGTGGCTGGTGGCCGACGTTGCCCCATGTGTGGCAGAACAGGACAAAGACGAAAGGAGAGGGATGAAAAGGTAATGGAGAACAGCCCCTCCTGTTCCTTAATTTCATGGTTCACAGACATTCATTGACATTCAGACACTCCCAAGGGGAAGCTCGTATAACCAGTCATGAAACCAGAAACGAGCAGGCTAACAGGCCGCTTGCCTGCGCCCCGGGCAGACTTTCTCCCCACCGTGGGGTCCACTCCCAGACACTCGGGCCCACCGAGACGGGTCTGCAGCTGCTCTGGGGGTTGGAAGAGTTCCAGGCCCACCGGGTCCTCTGACCAGCCGCTTCCAGGCAGGGCCCAGGCTCTAGCTCGGGGCGGCCCTCGAGGCTCTTGGAAGCACAAGACCCGGGGAGAGTGCAGCGGGGAGAAGGCAGGTGGGAGGAGGCTTCAGGCCAGGTGATATCCACACAGTGAGGGCTGCCAGGGAATGTCTCCCTCAGAATCACCATGGGCTGAAAGGGGGAGCAGAGAAATAAACCTGAAGGAGAGGGAGGTCCCGGCCCCCCAGACAGAGAAATGAGTCTGAACTGCTCCTTCAGATGAGAAGAGCAGCCGGAGGCAGAGATGCAGAAGCAGAGGAGAAAGCTGAGGGCAGCTGCATGGGCCAATGAGGGGGAAGCTATGGGCATGCCAGGTCAGAGGAGAGTGACAGGCAGGCCAGTTCACTCGTCTGGCCGCATCCACAGAGCAGAGCTCGGGACGCCGGCGGTGCTGGACTGCTGCCTGGTGAGGCTGCCCAAAGTGTGCATCACGCTTTGGAAGACCTCACTGAACACTCAGCTCAGAGTCAACCAGAATGTCCACCTCTCACACCACAGTCACTAGGGGCAGAGGCCTGAGGCACACTCTACCACGGCCGGCCAAATAGCGTGGGAGACATCATCTTCCTGACTCAGGGACACTGCAGCTCAGCGAGCTGGTTACTGTTATGTGTGTTTAGGCCCCCAGTCAGGTCTGACTCTTTGTGACCCCAGGGACTGGAGCCCACCCGGCTCCTCAGTCCATGGGGATTCTCCAGGCAAGAACACAGGAGTGGGTTGCCAGGCCCTCCTCCAGGGGATCTTCCAGACCCAGGAATTGAACTGGGGTCTCGTACATTGCAGGCAGGTTCTTTACCAACTGAGCTATCAGGGAAACCCGCTTACTTGTATAAGGATATATATATATATAAAGAAACCACTGTCATGATTGATACACTAAGTGATAAGCCTTACTGTTCTCCACAGAGTCTGGTGAGGCAGTTATCTGAAGCTCACCTGTGGAATTCCAGAACTCTCCAGCCAGTCTCGGAAGATGTTTCCAACAGACAGCTCAGGCCTTTAAAAATAAAACAACAAAAAAGTAAAGGATTAAGAAGTTACGGAATGGACTTCCCTGGCGGCACAGTGGGTAGAAATCCATCTGCCGAAGCAGGGGACACGGGTTCAATCCCTGGTCTGGGAAGATTCCACATGCTGCGGAGCCACTAAGCCGGCGCAGCAAGCCGGCGCAGCGCAACTACTGAGGCTGCAACAACTGAAGCCCGTGCTCCAACACAAAGAGTAGTCCCCCTCATTGCAAGTATAGAGAAAGCCTGAGCCCAGCAATGAAGACCCAGAACAGCCAAAAATAAATAAATAAATACATTTTAAAAAGTTACAGCGCACTTATTATTAATAACACAGAATGGTTCTAACTCTCAGGGCACATCACAGCATTGTTCTTCCAGAGAAATCTGGAGAAAGTGCAGTGCCATCTCAGGTTAAAGTGAGGAGGGGGCACGGTCACATTCAGTAGAGTGTCTCTCTAGTCCACAGGAGTGCACATGATGAGATCTAAGGAATCAAAGGGGCCCCACAGGAGGTCCTTGATGCCGTGAGAGGAAGTCTTCGCTGGACGTGCCTATGCAGGGAGGAGGGGGCATGTTCATGGGACATGTCAGGCATGACTGCTTCCTGAAGAGAGGTGGAGTAACATGAAATCTGAACCTCACAGCACTGAGTGCGTCAAAATGAAATGCCAACTTCACGGTGACGATGGGTGACAGCAAGCAAAAATGATACAATTCATCATCGGAACCCTGGGAGGCGCAGAGTGTGGAGCACACGTGGCTTCTGCTTCCTGTTTTCAAGCAGGTCTTCATTCCGCTTTATTCAGAATGTTACGATTGCTTGTTTGTTCCAAAGTCAGCTGAAATCTTTTGGTTTCATGCCTGCTGATTTAAATACTCCTTTAAATGTACCCAGTGGCCAATAGGTTTAGGGTCCACAAGCTTTAGGTCATGTCTTCCTGTCTTACTGAAGTTTAAGCAATTCCTCCCTGGCTTCGAGATAATTCCTGCTCACGCCCAGTCTCTCCAGCCACAGAGGCCTTCCTGGAATCCTCTTTCAGGCCGCGTACGTCACACCCACACGGCCCTGTCTTCTGTGGCACAGTATCCTGTCACAGTCTGAGACTGCAATTTGTTTTGTTCCTTGACTTGTAAATGTCTCCTCACTAGATAAAGCTCTCTGAGACCAGGGTCGGTGTCTGTTTTACTCACTTCTCTTAACCCTGCACTTAAAACCATTGTGGTGTAAGTATCCCCATAGATACTTTTTATTTGAATGAATGAAAACAGATTTCATTGTTGACTCAATAAAAACTATTCCTTTTTAAGTTAATGATCACCTTGCCCACTAAGATATCCCCAAGTCATTAAGGTCTGTATCTTTTTAAATTTTATGTATTATATACTCCATTACATGTATGAAATATTCCCTCCTCCCTCCCTTTGGAATTGTAAAGAGGTTGTGGAAAGATACAGTGCCGTCTGCATCAGTTAAGATGCTGAAGGCCAAGAGCTCCCCTCACGCCTGTACTGTTCGGCTGCAGGCTGGACGCAGTGAAAAGGGAGGGAAGAGCGGGCCTAGGTGGCTTAGGGAAGACAGGGTTGACTGATCTTGTCCTTCCTTTTCTTCTTCACTGAGAAGCAAGTCACTAGTGTGTCTTGGTCTTCCCTTGTTGTTGTTCAGTTGCCAAATTGTGTTTGACTCTTTGTGACCCCATGAACTGCAGCACCCCAGGCTTCCCTGTCCTTCACAATCTCCCGGAGCTTGCTCAAACTCATGTCCACTGAGTCAGTGATGTCATCCAACCATCTCATCCTCTGTCACTCCCTTCTTCTCTTGACCTTAACCTTTCCCAGCATCAGGGTCTTTTCATCAGGTGGCAGTTGGAGCTTCAACTTCAGCATCAGTCCTTCCAATGAATATTCAGGGTTGATTTCCTTTAGGATTGACTGGTTTGATCTCCTTGCAGTCTAAGGGACTCTCAGGAGTCTTCTCCAGCACCACAGTTTGAAAGCATCAATTCTTCGGCACTCAACTTTCTTTATGGTCCAACTCTCACATCCGTATATGACTACTGGAAAAGACATAGCCTTGACTAGATGGACCTTTGTTGGCAAAGTAATGTCTGTGCTTTTTAATACAATGTCTAGGTTTGTCATAGCTATTCTAGGGAGCAAGTGTCTTTTAATTTCATAACTGTAGTCACCATCCTCACTGATTTTGGAGCCCAAGAAAATGAAATCTGACACTGTTTCCACATTTCCCATCCATCTGCCATGAAGTGATAGGACCTGGGGAGGTCTTCCCTACCCGGGCAAAAGCAAAGGTGGTTGAAGGGGGCAACGGTTGCTTTCAGCAAAGAGAAAATACACAGAGGGGAGAAAAACTAGTCTGGATTCATTTTCAAGATGATGCTCATCTGTGGGATGACCAGACAGGGAAGAGGCCAGAAGTGAATAAGGGGAAGGTGACCACCCTCCCAGGCTGTTTGTCCAGTTCTCAGGTCAGTGAAATTACTGGCTGTGCCTTGTATGAAAGGCCAGGAGCCACCATTCCTGGGCTCTTTCCCACTGTTTCTTTGTCGTCATCTCGGTGCCCATGGCCAAGTCTCCTCTGTAGGCTGTGAGAGTGTGGAAGTGTGCGCTCATGTGCGTGCATACACACGTGCTCTCAGATGCCTGTGTGTGTGTGTGTGTGTACATGCACATGCACGCATGTGCACACGTGAGTGCACTTGGAGTGGGGGTGGGATGACCAGAAGAGAGGAGGCATCTCTCAGCATATTAAGGTCATTATGATATCTTGGATTTGATTTATTTGTTTGGCCATAGAAAGAGGCTCTGGAAATGCCCTCACCTGGCATAAGTGATATGCCAGGAGGAGGAAAGTGGTGTCAAAGGGCCACTTAGAGAAGCGCCCAAGAGGACTTGAGGTTGTTTTACTTTCTAGTGACATGTGCCAGGCTGGAAGGTAAGACAGATTTGGTAACTTCCATTGAGGATGGTGTTCAGAAGAAGGTTCGTTCTTGTTTGGAACGAATGCAAACAGTTCCCACCTGGTCTGGCACCAGGGGGCAGTTCATCTGGTGTGTAGAGCTCCTGCCTGGGGCTTTAGCAGCTCTGGAGACCCTGCTGGTGCTCTCAACTGTTTGTCCCAGTTTAGAAGCAAGGGTCCATTTTTATCCCCGTCTATCCTTCATTGGTGCTTCTCTCTAAGTAGCCCATTCATCTTCTTCCTTTCCAGCCAAGGAAGGACAAAAGGTCTAGTTACCCATCCTTCAGGAGATACCCAGGAAGGCAGCAGCACTCAGAACTGAGCTGCACTGTGTTGTGGAGTCTAGGAAAATGAGCATTCTTAAACCTGCCACAACTTAAGATGAAGAATTTAGAAAGTATTTAGAAGACAGCAGTAGTGATGATCAAAGGGGTAAGCACATTAGATCCACAAGGGAGGTCAAGGGAACTGGGATTAAGTAACCTGAAGAAGAGAAGTCTGGGAGTGACTACAGAGCAATTTGCAAGCGGTTTTACAAAAGATGGTGAACAGCTGTTGTGCATCCCCATGGAGGAGTGAGTAAGAGGACAGGGACATAAATTTCCTTTGGAGACTTATAGCTGAAAGACGATTCTTTAGGGGTGGCACAGTCAGGGGATGGCATGGTGGAGGGCAGGGGCTGGGAGTTGAGTCCTGGAGTGTTACTGACTGAGGATCACATCTTCACCAACGAAGACTGAGAACAGGCTAAAGCTTATCTATGTGGCAAACAATCAATGGGTGCCTATCAGGTATAGGGTTCGGATAGGGTTCTGTACAAGACTAATACTATTATCCCCATCTTAGAGATGAGCAAATAAGTGGCAAACAATCAACGGATGCCTATCAGGTACAGGGTTCGGATAGGGTTCTGTACAAGACTAATACTATTATCCCCATCTTAGAGATGAGCAAATAAAGGTCCAAGCGGCTGAAGGTCTTGCTCAGTGCCTCCTAGACGGTGCTCACAGAGCTGGGACTCAGCCTTCTGTTGTCTGGCTGCAAAGCTCTCACTTTTCTTCCTGTGTGGAATTCACAATACATTGTACATGATTTACGGTGCAGACAAGCCTGCAAGAGAAGAAGGCCTGTGCTGGCTTCTGCCAATGCTGACTTCTTGGTCCTATCTCTCCTGCTGAAGGTGACCTGGCTGCTGCCGTGGCTGCCCTGTTTGTCTGCCCCCAATTACAGTTCAGAAGAGATAGGGGGACCCTTGGGAGGGGCAGGAGTGTGAGGACAGGAGAGTTCATTGTTCAGCTGCATCCAGGAGCAAAAGACACTCTCCTGTGAATGAAGAGAACCTGTGTTTCCAGATCACTTACCCCTGGAAAGGTTCAAAACACCTTATAACCATTATCACTTCATTCCTCACAATATCCTCGTGAAGTGGGTGTCAATTGTCGTGTGGCTTTTTAACAGATGGAGAAACTGCAGCATAAGAAAACTGTTCAAAGTCAGCCCTGCTGCTGCTGCTAAGTCGCTGCAGTCGTGTCCGACTCTGTGCGACTCCATAGACGGCAGCCCACCAGGCTCCTCCGTCGATGGGATTTTCCAGGCAAGAACACTGGAGTGGGTTGCCATTGCCTTCTCCAAAAGTCACCCAGGCTAAAGGAAAGGGCTAGAGAAAAGACCTAGGTTTCTAGACTCCCAGTCTCAGTGCAGACATCAAACTGCACGGATGCCCACTTATAGATTTCTTATGTGTAATAAGATGCTAAATTCTGAGAGGAAGATCAAAGCATTAACTCCATCCACTAAAAACAAATTTTGTAAACATTATAGAAGTAGCAGAAGTAGCCTTACCTCCAAGGAAATTATGGGAGATGGTCTGAAAATGCTGAATTTTCAGGAATTAAAGGGGTTCTATGGTTTTTTTTTTTAATGTACATAGTTTTTCCTGTTTTGATCATGATTACTGAGATGATAGTACAGGTGAAGTTCAGTTCTGGACTTGGATATGTAGCAGTGGTGAAGCTGAAAGCTGACTTTTTCAAATCAAGACACTCAGAGTCAAGGCCAATGGTGAGTTTTTCCCCTCTGAGATCATGGAGCTTAAATAATCACAACAGACAAGCAGAAGCATTTCCACTTCTCTGGGACCTAGGACTTACAGGAAATTACTCTTCTGCATGTCTGCTCACTATGAAAATTGATTTTATACAGACAACTAAAAGTACACAGACCCACGCCTGCATGCCCTCCATCTCTGTACTAGTGAGCGGTGCTTCTGCCTCATTATTGAGGCCTCCCGGGCATCCGGAACAGCCGGCTGTCTCAGCCTCTGGCCAGAGAGCTCCCGTGCTGTATACCCGTGTCCTGAAAGGCAGCTCTGAGTTTTAGGAATGGGTCTCCAGACCCTGTGAGCTCTGAATATAGTCACATGTAACTAATGCCACAACAGGGGGAAAGGGCTGGCCATCCTGCATGGTGCTGGTTAGAAAAATAAGTTGTGTTTAAGGTCAGGAAAGTGACCAGTAGCTCTTCTCTTCTTAATGTTATAGTACACAGAAACAAGACCTAGGCGTGGGATGAAAAGAGCATTTATATGCTGTGTGTACGACATTGCTCGGTCAGTTGACTTCTGGGGGTGGCATGACAAGGATAGGGTGCTGACTATTAGCCATATCTGCTGCTTGTGCCTATCAACTCAGTGTTGATCAGGAGAAAGGTCTTTATCACTCTTGGCTCTGTCTTCGGCCCCTTGAGATTCTAAAGATCACCTCCTATCTGCGTGCCTACAGGAAAGCACAAGGCCCGTGCTTCGGGAACAGAGTGAAGGCGCAGAGAACACGGGCAGTGCAGTTCTCCCTGGAATCAGGCTTTGGGGGCTTCCACATTCAGGGTCTGAAGCGGAAAATGTTCTTGTTCTGAAATGCAACTTACATTCTGTATGGGTTTTTAAATGTCAGTAATTTATGTTTTTGAGTTCCCTTCCTACCTGGGGATACAAACAGTGTATGCCTCAATGCTTTATGCATGGTTACTTCTTTTCTTGATCAGAGCAAGTCATCTGCGCTTGGGTAGATAATGAAGATTGCTGAGGTAACATTTACAAACAAATACTCCCTAGCTTCAAGGGGGAGGAAGAGTACTGAATTAAAACAAATACGTGAATGTGAGCACACAAACATAATAACTGATGAGCAAAGAAAGAGCTGGCAGCTGTTGATACTGTTGGACTATCGGGTGGGGAAGGCACGCCGGATAGGCACTCCTAGCTGCTTCTTCTCTTGGTCTCATCAGCTTTTGGACAGAAACCACTCACTGAAGAGGTCTAAAACATGGTTTCTCACCTCCCCTCTTCCACCTTCAAACACTCAGCCTTCCCTCCCTCTGCCCCATACTGATTCCTGAGACCAAACACCTGCTGCCCGGGTCGCCAGGACTTCTATACTCTGCATGTAACTGAGTGGCAGAGAGAGAAAGGTCAGATCATGCAAGGACTCCTTTCAGCTCAACCAACCAACTTAACTGTGGCACTCCTGGGGTATTCCCGAGATCTGTTCAAATCCCGCTGCCATCCACCCATGGTCCCAGCTCTGGATCTTGAGTGAACTGCTGTTTCTATCTCTGGTTGGTCTCCTGATAGCTAGTTCCCTCCATCCTATCTATCTCCCATGCTGACCACTCCCCAGATACCTTTCTAACCTGTGGATGGCACTCCCCTACCTGAAGCCTTCAGTAGTACCTCTGGCCTGAAGGCTTGAGCATAGGACTGTTGAGCCCTACCTCCGTGCTGAAGTTTACCAAAGAACTTCCTACCCTGAGTCATGACCTGTTTCATGTACATCTTTAGCAGCTGACTAGGAGCTCCCTGAGGGCTAAGCATAGACTTAATTTTTTATTTCCTAGTGTCCAGCCTAAAACCTGGTGAAGGAGGTACTCAATAGAGAATGTTAAAATTAATCGAAGCAAGAGAATAAGAGAAAGGCAGTATGACGTGGGCTGGCCCTAGGGCTTTAACTGGCTGGTCTAACCTAAAAAATTTTGTCTTGTTCAGCACAGCTCACGTGCCTAACAGATGTGTCTGAGGATCAGCTTGCGATGGAGTCAAAGATTAGAGGCTCCATGGGTAGGCGTGGGGCCTTTGGAGAGCTGGATAAAATTGGTACAACATGCTGCACAGGTAAAAGAATGAACAGTCTGCTTTAAAAGCCGGATTAGATTCTGAGATTAGTGAGCGGGAAAGACAATGTTTGAGTTTCAAAATATATTCTAGTATACTTGCTGAAATACATTAATTGTAGCAATGAAGTCTCAAATCTTAAGGAAAATTTTTTTAAAAAGCTTAAGCCTGCTAGTCAAAACGTGATGCTAACTGGGTGAGGCATCTTCTCGAAGGGCGAAGGTTGGTGGTCAGTGGGCACCTTTCAATGGAGATGCTGCTCTTAACATCCACAGTCACAACAAAAGTTACTTTGTGGGATCATAAAAAATATTCACAATGATAAAATCTAGGTGCCCCCAGAGCTAGAGGGCTTGGGCCATCCAAATGAACTCCATAACCTTATTAGGAAGGGGATGTTAAGAAAGAAGACCTCCAAAATGAAAAATGCACCTTGTTGCCTCCATGAAAATTGCTATATTTGTGCCCTGAGAAGTTCATTACTCAGAAACAGACCTGGGTAACAGCCTAAGGAGGTAATAAACCATGTCTATTAACTTTCTTTTTTCTAAATTAGTTCCTAAGGAAATTGCTCCATTCTATTAGAGGACCTGAAAGGTTATTTCAGGGTAAGTATAGAAAAAAAGAAAAATTCTTACAGGTAACCTGTTGTTCTTGACCTTAGCAATAATGGACACATCTGATGTGATTTTTACATGAAGCAAACCTTGCATGTTCACTTTAAAAAGAAAAGGATGAAAATAAATAAATAAAAGGATGGCAAATCTGAAACATTTCAGACATTCCAAAACAAGTCACCCTAACTTTTAGAACTTGTCTCTCCTCCATTCTTTTTCATGGCAGCTGAGGCCATAGTGTCTCCAGCTGTTTGCTGGCTCCTAGAATACACACTCCTGATATTTCTAGGTCCAATTGATCATCCCAGGACTCCTGTTGGCTGGACTAGGTCCCTCCTCTATTGACAGAGGAAGATTAAACTTCTAGGCTGCAATTTGCCAAACAATGGCAGAGTCATTTTTAACATTCAAAATAAAACTGGGCCCTTAATTCCTAAATTGGTCCTCACCTTTTTTCTTCTGGGATGTTCTCCAACAGCATTTGAAGGAAATCCTGGAAGAAGAAAAAAGCACATCATTAAAGATGTCCATCAATAAATAACCCTGCCTGGAGTCATGCCAGAGACTGAGTGTTCCCAGCTGCTGACAACTCACCTGCTAGGGAAGGTAGGCTGACACTGAAATATTAGGCTATATACTCAATTTATTAATTTACTAGGGCTTCAGTCCAATCAGTTAGAGAGATTTATTTTTGTAAAAACCACAAACAAATTGAAAAAAGTAATGTTTGCTATTCTGACCTAACCCAACACTTTATTTCATTCCACGTTTAACTATTTTCAAAAGGCTAGCCCGAGCACACGGCACTGTCCCTCTGACTTAACCATGTCCTCCTCTTCACCAGCTTTCCCTAGAGAGCCTGCTTGTTTGTGCTCAGTTTCTCCGCCATCTCTGACTCTTTTGCACACCCACAGACTGTAGCCCACCAGGCTCCTCTGTCCATGGGATTCTCCAGGCAAGAGTACTGGAGTGGGTTGCCATTTCCTCCTAGAGGGGATCTTCCCGACCCAGGGATTGAACCCATGCCTCCTGGGTCTCCTGCACCGGTAGGCAGGTTCTTTACCATTGAGCCACCAGAGATCATGTTACATACTGAATAATCACAACTCTGAGAGGTTAGTAACTAACGGCTTTTTTGCATTGCTATATGGATAATAAAGACAAAATCAAGACAATTAATACCCAAGTGGAGAAACAAAGATGTCACAATCCCAAAAATAGCTCACGGGCTCCTGCCTCCATCTGCAGCCGCTTCTGATGCCACGGCGCAAATCCTCAATTGTTTGATTTAAGATGCTTCAAGAATAGATTTTTTTTTTCCTTTAATCTAAGGGCATGACTTACACACATACCCATTTTATCCTCTACTATGGAAAATGGAAAATTTCAGACACATTCAAAAGTAGCAAAGTGTAATTAACTTTCACATACCCAGTGTCCCATAGCCAATCTGTGCCATCCACTCACTTGCCTCCTGCATTATTTAGAAGTAAATCCCAAATGTTAACATAATTTCACCAATCTATGTTTCAGTAAGTACCTCCAAAAGCTAAGGATTATTTTAAAACATACCCATATTATCAGAAGACCTAAATAATATTCACATGAATATTCAAAATCACATTTATATTTGATCTGCATCTTGTGTATTATGACCAATCTTTTCAGTCCATCTTATTCTGGAATCTTCACTTGGTCTAAACTAGGTCTGTGAGATAAAACATAGGATACCCAGGTAAATTGAGGGCATACTTACATGAAAAAGTTCTTTGTTCTTAATCTGAAATTTTAATTTACATGGGGGTTGTACATTTTATTTGCTAAATGGGTAAGCCTAGTGTCAACCCTACCTCACTTGAAGGTTTGATAAGATACATTTTGGGTAAATACAGAACATGAAACAAACAAGAAAACAATGTTTAACTTTCTAGGGACTTAATATTGAGTGATAAGTAAGACCTGAACTTAAAGGATTTCTTTTAATAAATTGGAAATCACCTTTTAAACTGGTCCTTAAAGAGGGCACATGTGTAAGCCCAGATGACAAAATATGACACTGTCATTAATAAATGAGCATCCCTTCAGATGGATGCCCCTACCACAACCTAGCCTGCAGACCCAGGGTCAGCACAAGGCTCTGATGAGATCCATGTAACTCAGAGTGTGAGATGCAAGTGGCAGTGCACACCACTGTATTACAAACAGATGGAATGACACGGGACTAGAAATCTGCAAACAATTTGTATGACAAGGTGTTCTTTTTCTATCATGGCATTAAGCATAGCCATCACTACACTGGTGGAGTCAGCTGTCCCTTCCTCTGTGTTTATGGGTGGTTAGGTCCATTTCTTCCAGAGACAGAATTTCCCTATTAAGAGCACTGGTGAAAGATTTCTTTCTTGCAACCTCTGTCCTCCTTCTAAGACTCTACTTGCCTATTGCTGCTTCACCCAAAATACATAACACAGATACAACAAACCTAATATTAACATGTATCAGTCTAAGTACCCTAATGTTCATAGTAGCACTATTGACAGTAATCAAGATATGGAAGCAACCTAAGTGAGCATCAACAGATGAATGGATGAAAAAGATATGATAGATACACAGACACAGACACACACATATATGCACACAATAGAATATTACTCAGCCAGAAACAAAGAATGAAATAATGCCATTTTCAGCAACATTTAATGAACCTAGAAATTGTCATACTAAGTGAAGTAAGTCAGACAAAGACAAATATCATATGATATCACTTATATATGGAATCTTAAAAAATGATACAAATGGACTTATTTACAAAACTGAAAGAGACTCACAGACATAGAAAACAAATTTATGGTTACCAAAGGGGAAGCGGGGAGGAATAAATTAGGAGTTTAGGATTAGCAGATACACACTATTATACTATACAACACTACATATAAAATAAACAACAAGGTCCTACTATACAGTGCAGGGAACTCTATTCAATATCTTGTAGTAAATGATAATGGAAGATAGTCTGAAAAAGAATGTATGAAACACTCTGCAGTACACCAGAAACTTACACAATGTTGTACATCAACTATACTTCAATGAAAAAAAATTTACCAGTAAAAATGGAAGGAGAGAATCCCAAATAGAATGTAGTATAGTATATACTGCAGTGGGTATATTGAGAAAAAAAAAAGTCAAAGGAAACAAAAGCAATATTTAGAAAGCAAAGAAGTATTTTTGACTGAGGTTCTTAAAGTCATGATTTTATTATATTAATAACTATTTTGTAAAAAAGTTGAATCAGAAATTAATCTTTCACAATCTGATATATTATTAGATTACTTTGCAGATTATTTCATTGGCTTAATGACAGAATTCTTGCTTCTTTAAAATGCAAGTAGTGTAATTATAATTTCTTACTAATTTTACTGCATTATCTCCTTATAGTCCATATCAACTTATCCCATATTTGTCCAGCAATTTATGCTCAATTAAGTGGGGGGGAAATTACATTAACTCAATGGCAAGGGGGAGAATTTAATTGCATGAGAAGCAGGAAATCCAGAGTTAACCTTAATTCTGCCCTTTTGCATTTTCCAATTACAATTAGATCTTCCCTTATGAAATTACAGAACACAATGTTTCAGATTTTCTGTGAATACAATAAAAGTGTAGGAGGTCCCCAAGAAGCCCTGCTTAATTTTTTTAAAAAGGTAACTGTCCCACTTCTTAGCAGGTGGTCATCTGCCTCTTCCTGCTCAGAGCTGAGAACTGCAGGCCACACAGCTAGCTGAAGGCTGCCAATCAGTCCTGAGGAGGACAGGTCTAAGGGATCACAGTTCAGTTCAGTTACTCAGTCATGTCTGACTCTTTGCGACCCCATGGACTGCAGCAAGCCAGGCCTCCCTGTCCATCACCAACTTCCGGAGTCCACCCAAACCCGTGTCCATTGAGTCAGTGATGCCATCCAACAATCTCATCCTCTGTCATCCCCTTCTCCTCCTTCCCTCAATCTTTCCCAGTATCAGGGTCTTTTCCAATGAGTCAGCTCTTCGCATCAGGTGACCAAAATATTGGAGTTTCAGCTTCAACATCAGTCCTTCTAATGAATATTCAGGACTGATTTCCTTTAGGATGGACTGGTTGGATCTCCTTGCAGTCCAAGGGACTCTCAAGAGTCTTCTCCAACACCACAGTTCAAAAGCATCAATTCTTCGGCGCTCAGCTTTCTTTACAGTCCAACTCTCACATCCATACATGACCACTGGAAAAACCACAGCCTTGACTGGATGGACCTTTGTTGGCAAAGTAATGTCTGGATCAGACTGGATCACACTGGATCACAAAAACTCAATACCTCAAGCATCCCTAAGACATGAAGCCTGTATCTCCACAGATTATGGGAATGTTTGTCTGCAGTGCTAGACATTCTCCCATCCTGTACTCCATCCAACCCAAGAAGACACTTGGTCTCACCAGGGTAATCTCTGTACCACCAGTGGAATCAACTCAACTGGTCCTTCTTATTCCGTTCATACACATAATCTCATGGACATGAGTTTGAGTAAGCTCCGGGAGTTGGTGATGGACAGAGAAGCCTGGTGTGCTGCAGCTCATGTGGTTGCAAAGAGTTGGACCTGACTGAGCAACTGAACTGACACATAATCTTAACTACAAAATGCTCGTTTTCCTGGTTCCATTCAGAAATTGGCATACACACCTGGAGTGGACTCATCATAGAAGCCTTTCCCCATTTTCCACAACAGAATGTTTAAAAAAAAAAGATGTCTCTTTTGAGTATTCCTTCCCTTACCACTTCTTTTCAATTCTTTCATCTGTCTTTACTCTTTACTTCAGCATGTTGGCATTTTTATAAAAAGCAACTTACAAATATCAATTGGACAAGGAGGGTTTTCCTTCAAGACTGATTCTAGGATCATGAACAGGACTTAAGGCACTGACTTGATCTAGGATCACTGACAAAGTCAGTTAGCAACAAATACTAGGGCCCTAGTTTCTTACCACTAGAGTATGCCTGAAAATATTAAAGCCAAAGACACAAAAATATCAACATTCCCGCCACTTGCACAGTGAGTTGGGGTGAAATTTTATCTAGATCCTTGACAACTGTTGCAAGCCAATACTCTAGTCAAAAAATGTATTCCTTGGGAAGTTTGCTTTTTAAATTTCTTTTTCTCCTAATAATCTATATACTAATCAGGTAGCTAGATAGCTTATTTTGATTATCACCTAAAAACACTAAATTAAGCATTAAAAATTTTTTTAAAATGACACCAATTTTGGCACATGGTTAATTTGGTAATTATTTTATAGTACTAGTGAAAGTTTTCAACAAAAAGCAGATGCATGTAGCTTCTCCTGGACAAATGGACTCTGGCTTGATATTTACAGAGAAGTAGGAATTTCTGTCAGAGGTTTTATGAATAATTACTATGATCATAGGGAGGGGACAGTAGGAGGGACAATACAAATAATCAAAATATTGAA